GCATTGAGTTCATCATTTGAATTGTATGACATGTTTGTGATTTGAATAAAATGGTTTTTTTGAATGAAATAGTAATAATGTATCCGATAGTTTGCTCCTTTATATAGTACAGTTGGATGAATAGTGTCAAACTATATAAGGTAAATGTGCTGTTAATATGACCATATATGGCAAGTCAAATATATTCTTCACCTTTTTCTTATGATTTCAATGTTGAGTGAATCAGATAGAATTGCGCAATTTTCTTTTCTTTTGTAAAATATCAACGGAAAGATAAACTGCATAGAAAATACCATAAAAGGAAATGATGTAAAAAGTATGATTAAGTTATGCAAATAACACTGAATTTTCGCAATAATTATTTTTCTCTTCGATAGAATCCCTTTCATGGAGAAAGATTAAAATTATTTGTTCAAAACAAAAGAAAATAATAGCTTATTTAAATATATAATCGAAATTAATGTTTAATTCTTCATCATCACAATTATTTGTTACATTTGTAGGTTGAGGAAAATAATCATCTGATCGATAGAATTGATTAGGAAGTCCTTGTGAATTTATATTATATTGTGATGGCGTAAAATTACTACTTGAGTAAGAAGCATGTTGTTGAGAAGGAGGAGTGTAATTTTGTTGTTGTTGTTGTTGTTGTTGTTGATGAAGTTCATATGATGATGGACCTGTATATTGTTTATTAAATGAATTAAGAGCAAAGAAACCTTCAGAAGAGCGAACAATGAGAGCATGTGGACATGAGTTAGATTGAGAATATAGATGAATGCTCATTCCATCGACATTCGCACCATACCATCATTCATCGATTTTTTTGTAATATAAGGTAGAGATTAGTTTTATACAACCGAAGTGTTCACAATTATAATCTATCCTGTAGTGCGTAACAAACTTGCCAAATTATTTAAACTCACATTCTTACAATCAGATTAAAACTTCGTTCAGTTTGAAATTTTTTAGACTTAAATGCTAAAGAGAACATGTAAATAACATATTTTAATCCTAAACAGCGAATATATTGACAAGGTTTTTTTCTATAGTAAAAATGACTATTATTTGAATAGTATGAGTCATCGTCCAATTTTCTGATTCATTTCTCTTATGAATATTTCCATGGGAAATATTACCAGTACAATCTCAAGGGCAAAGAATTCATGAATTTCAAAATGACATTGACATCATGTATAAAAGTCTACGACAAGTAACAGACCGAAACACTGTCATTGAAACAAGAAGAAATCAACGAAACTCATCTTGCTCTTTATATTTTTGGTTGGTATGCAAGTAACTAGTATGAATCTTGACAGTGCACTCAAATTGTTTTCAGTATTGATCATGGACAAGAGTTTATACAAGAAAGACCTTAGTCGAAATATCAATGTGGCAAGTGACAACAAGCTTCTTTTGAACTCATTTAATCAAACATCAACCATCATTATTTATAAGGAAGAAAACCATACATACCCGAACTGAATAACTATTCCAATTGGACGACAGGTGCATTAAGATGGTTAAATGGTGTTTGAGTACCGCAAGGTGATATCAAAGAAACAAATGTAAAACAATAAGAGTTATTATAGGAATGGATGTATCAGTCTTGAGTACCAGTTCATATTTATACTAAAAGTAACCTTGTTTGATATTTAAGATTTCTTTAACGCTTGGTCAAGTTACTTGTGAATTATGGTATACATTTGCATTTATTTTCTAACTTATATTTTAATACATTATTTAACTAAAGATAATAAGCTATGGAGCAAATAACAAATGATTGGCTGCCTATCGAAGGATAAGGGTCATAATGAAGGCGATTTTACTAATACATTTAACTATTTATAAGATAATCTTTTATAGATGAATAGTGGAATATATTGTTTCTATACAAAAATATCGATTAAATGCATATTCTGAGGTGTTGGAGGTGATGGAGTAAAGTTTGATCGCTTCTTTACAGTAATGTTGCAATAAATAACGCTGTCGCTATGCAGCAAGCTCTAGCTGACTACGGATTTGCATGTATCTTTCTTTCTACTAACACTAAAATGAAAACAGCATATGTATGATGATTATTCGTCTGATATCTGAATATGAATGTGATTTTTTTGCAGTCAAATGGATGTCCGATATCTATTACGGTGATAAATCATGCTGTTGTCATAATTGAATACTAGATCGATGCAGCAACACAGATCTCTTTCCTTATTGGAAAGGAAGAAACAACTGGGGAACAGATTGAGGTGACAAAAGACTATTACAAAATACGATATGGTCTGGAAATGTGTGATATTCAATCCGGTGCATTTTACAACGAAAGACCTACTTTGATCATCCATGAAAATCAGCATCATAGCTCTTGAAGAAGTTTTATTTACATTTCTGTTTTTAATTATTATTTCATATGTATATTTTTTCTCTTAAAAATGTTTTTATTTGTCACATTAATTTCTTTCTCATATGTATTCTTGAAATAATAATAAGAAGAAGAATCAAATTATAATTATCAGCTGAAATACATATTTTATCATCAAATAAGTGAAACTTAAAAATACCCATTGCAAGATAATTAATTATTCTCTCTGAGTTTTCGAATTCATGTCAGAGAAAGTTAGCGATTCTTTCATTCTCACCATGCTCTTATGAAACTAGTTATTCTTTGTTTATCGAAAAGTTTGAAATAAATTTTGAATAATGCGAAAGTATCTATTTAGATAGAATGTATGGCTGTTGTCTTAATAATTGTTTACTTTTTTCGACCAGCACAGAAAAAATAATATCATTACACAATATTTTCATTATACTCGTTTTGTTTCACTTGAATTCATTTGATATATGCCACTATTTTATTACAAAATTCTATGAATTGAGAAAATTACTATCAAAGTTAATATTCGTAGTTACATTTTGTGCATACAAGGTGTCGGCAACACATTTAACTCATAAATCAAAAACATCTACTTTGTGGGCATACTCATTATAGAAATTTAATATGTTTTTGTAGTTGTAAGAGCTTAATTATAATACGGTTTGGTTGATATATGAGATAGTTTTTCTCGAACAATTTATCAATGCAAACAATCATATCGTTTATTAAAATATATGAAGAAGAACGAAGGAAAAAGTTGTTATTTTGATTGCTCAGATGGTTACTCTGATTGTCAGTAATTATTTACGATCTATTAATGATTGCAATCAATATTTTTCTATTCGGATGCAAGATAAATCACAGTTTTGTTTAAAACTATCTTCTAATGTTGTTTATTTTTAAATTCATGTTACAGCAGTCATTTAATAATATTCATAGATATACTTTAATTATTTTCCTGTTTAATATAAAAAATATCATTATTGTTTCTTTTTTCTTAGTATGTTTTAAGAGTCTTGTTCGTCCATGCAGAATATCATAAATTACAAAACATGACAATATATTTTCTAGATTTATTATCCTCCTAGAAAAAACTTTTGAAAATAGTTCTATATAAAAGTTATAGTTTGATTATTACAAAATAAATTAATCAATATCAAAATGATACAGATAGCTTATCATTTGTATTTTTTAATAAATTAAGAAGATAATACATCAATATCGGTTGATAATATTCTATAAAGTAAAAAGTTATTTGTATTTGTTAATAAATGTTTTTTTTAATATAATTTTCTATTAATATATGTTTGTTTATGAATAAAAGTATAAAACTCGGTTGAATACTTGTGTAAGTTGTCGCAAGAGTTTCAGAAGAAAATTGAAAAATAATAAAAAAAAAAAGAAAACATAATTACTTTTATTATTTTAGTTGTTCGGGTAAGTTGTTAAGAAAACTAAATAAAATACAACCAGAATTTATCTATTATCAAATGTTTGTAAATATTTATTCGTTCAAGTATCTGGACATATTTCTTCTCGTTTTTTTTATAGTTTTTAAGATATTTGCATTTCAATATGTACCAAAATTTGCACCATCTTACAAAAAGATGAGTTGATACAGTTTACTAATAGATATCATTAGCAGAAATTTGATTAAACCTATCGAATAAACAAAAAATAAGTATGTTATTTATAGTCAATTGTATAAGGTCGATCGTCTAAATTTGTGATGTTCATTTTCAATGAAGAATACTATTTTTATGCGTCTTTTTAATCTATTTCTAACATGTTAAACTTGATCTTTTCAAGCTTAATAAATAAAATGAGACTTCTACATCGCTTCATCTTAGTATGTACATATTAGTTCATCTTAACTACGTCTCATTAATTCGTTACTGTGATTGATATAAGACAGCGAATAAATGAAACTAGCCAAAAATCTGCTTTCTTGCTAAAAGCAATCCAAGTTTTTAGAGTTTTTTTTTAATGTCGTTCATAATAATACTGATGTAGTTTGATAATAGGATGCAATATATGATCATCATTCATGAGACATAAATACATAATTATTAAGACATATCAAATCTAAAAGAAGTGAGTTTATGGAATATGTGTATCAACTTCGATATTTCATTAAATTTTAATCCCCATCATGGTAGTTTGTTGAAATAGCATGTGCATATACTCTAACACGAATCACATAGTGCTCGAGATTCATATATGAAAGAATAACATTCAATGCTCTATATTATACTTCACTTCTTTTACAATAAAAAATACAATCGTTCATAGTTTTTTTAAATTGAATCAAATCAAAGTGAACTGAATTCTATTTCTGAGGATATCGGCTTCGGGAGATTTCTACGTACAGTAATCAAATGTATGCTCTCTTTTTGATATAAAAAGAATCGTAATAATACTTTCGATTAGTAACATCTTTCAATGCACGCCTAAGTCAAACATACTCTGTTGTTAACGACTGCTAAGGACGAGATACAATGAGAAATGGATTCCATATACAGAGGTATACGATCGCCGTATATTACCATGCGTAATCGTATATGATCATATACGGCTACTATATGCTCAACCTTAGAAAATTCTAATGAATTAAAATTTGAATAGATACATCTTATTTGATATTTACATCTCCACTATCATTATTCGATATTATTACTTTATATTATATTATACTATTTTATTGTAGATTATTTTCTTATTACATTTTATTCTAGATGACCTAAAGTGATGTATCTATCGAACAGTAAGTACATAATTTAATTTAATTTTGTTCTATTTAGGTGGATCTTAGTGAATATATTTAGTGAACAATAAGTAAATAATTCTTCCTATTAATTGTTATTTATTTTTTAAGTACTTTTGTTTATTTTATTATTTTAGGGCATCTAATTGAGGATACTTGCACATCACATTGAAGATAGAAGACATAAGACGTACGATGGAAAGGGTAATATCTCTACCATATAGCAGAAGGATATGATCAGAAATGACTATATACAGAGAAGATACGGTCGCTTATAATCGTAAGCGCTCGTATGTGCTCTTCGTTCTCCTCAGTATTTCTCCGTATATGGTTATGGAAATATACGGTCGTATTACTGGAACATGTAATACATTTGAATACGGTCGTATACAGCATCGTTTACGATCGTCATAACGTTCGATCTAGGTATATACATTCTGTGACTCAGCATTCCAGAAGTGTTTGGAATATATTCAGAGAACGATATAGAAACATCGTCATCAATACCTACAAAATCATCATCTACAAAATCATCATCTACAAAATCATCATCAACAAAATCTTAAAAAAAGACAAAGATGAAGATTGCTACTATCGGAGACCGTGCGTTGTTTTATTTGTGCACGAGTCATATTCAACAATATTGCC